TAGCTCTTTGAAGAGGCCCACAAGACCAGGAACAGACACCTCCTGCTAACAGCCAGTGAGGAACTGAGGCCTCCAGCCAACAGCCATGTGAGTGAGCCGTCTTGGACTCGGACCCTCCACCCCCAGTTGAAGCTTGACTGCAGCTCTTGTGGGTATCTTGGCTGCAATCTCATGGGATACCGAAGCCAGAACCACACTGCTGGCCACTGCCGGAGTCCTGATCCTCAGAAACTGTGTGAGAAAATGTTTGTTTCAAGCCACTACACTTGGGGTAGCTTGTTACACAGCAATGGGTAATTAATAAGTATGAATTCCTCCTGTGAGTTACTATTTCTTTAAAGATATTGCCTGGCCCCATTACAGGAAAGGAATGCCCCTTGATATCTGTATTAGTAGAATTCTGGGTTGTTTGTTCTCCATTTGCTCCACCCTTACCTGGGATCATTTTCCACCTCTTTTTGCCCCGTTCTCTGCTGTTAGTCGTTGATTCCATGGACTCCCTTGCCCTCGGGCTTCTCTTTGGTTTCTATCCATGGAAAACACTGGCAGGGGAGCAGAGGGCAGGATGAAAGAGAGGTCTGGACATCTACCCCTCTGACTCTGATTTCCCTCCCACCAGCCTAGGAGGCAAGGGATGATATTACACGTGACTTTATTCTACTCAGATCTGCAGAGTTGGAGTTCACTATGTTAAGGTCCATGTATTTAAAAGAAAGCAACTCCCTCTTTGTTCCTCCTTTGAATTAGAAAACAGCCTTTAATTCCCCGAAGACGATCAGATCCACTTACTCAAACCTGCTTTTTCTGCAAGCAAAATCAAGTCCCACTGTCTGGATTATATGATTGCTGCTTATTAAATTAAGTTGGGGTAATTATCGGGGTGGAGAAATGAAACAAAGAGTATCAAAGGCTGATATTTCTAGAAACACCTCAGAAGCTGTTTCCTGCTCGTTTGGGACACAGCCAAAATTGGCTGGCCTGAGAACACTGCATGTGACATGTTCCCTTGCTAGAGCAGTCAAGGAGGGGCAAGCGTCTGTGAATAAGACAGGTGCTAGACTGGGAAGAGGCCTGGCTTGGCAGCAGGAAGATCTGGCTGCCTATCCTCACTGGCAAGTTCACTGCCTAACCTTGGGCAAATAACTTCTTGGGTTTTCAAATGTAAACGGGCCTGTCTCATGTACTGCAGAGGATGGTGGTTGTGAAAAATCAATTAAATAGGATTTTGCTGGATTATTAAATATAAGGTGAGGCACAGGGACTTCCCTGGTGACGCAGTGTCGTTACTCTGTTGTAATTACCACTGTCAGCAAGGGTGAATCTAGGGTACTAATGGAGGGAGAAGTCCTTGAATCCTTTATCAGTCATGGAACCAGCAAGAAACAGACAGTACACTTAGGTGGAGTTTTTGAAGGGACCATTTTTTGAGGTGTGGGCAGAGTTAAGAGTGCCCACCGATATTGAGGCATCTGTGACCATCAACAGAGGAAAGCCAACCCCACCCAACCTGAAGGGTAATGGCTAGAAATGGTGTTGTTGGACCTGATGAGAGCTGGACTCATGGTAGAAGGGCCATGCAATGCCAAGTACAGTTGTAGAAAAGCATAGTCAGTGCCAAACAACAGCAAAACTGGCAGGAGAAATAAATACTCTGACTTCTCTTTCTGCTCCCTAATCTCTTGCCTGTGCCTCCTACTAGCCAGTTCCATCTGGAAACCAGAGACAAGGGTGCCTGGATGATGCCATCCAAGCAGTTGGTAGACGTCAATGTCCTAGTCCCCAGAGCAGGGTGGGGAGGGTCAGGGAGTGGGTCTGGAGAGGCAAATGGAGAACATCATGAACAAGGTCCAAAAGAGGAGAAATTATAGGAATTGTTGAAAGAATATTTTCTAAAACTTTTAAAAATTTCATTGCTTAATTAAAATGCCTAAATTTGCAAAGAGAGTCCACAGCTACTGATGGAATGAGGATGTATCTGAATGAGTATAGAGGGCTGGATACTTGAGGCTCCTATTATGAGAGAGAGGCACTGACGGGCATATGCCCAGAAAACCAATCCTGGATTGTTTTAAATAAAGGCTTTATTTTTTAAAGAAGTTTTAGGTTCCAGAAAAATTAAGAAAAAGCTACAGAGATTTCCCACATACTCCCTGCCTCCACACATGTACAGCCTTCTTGGCTATCAACATCCCACACGAGGGTGGTACATTTGTTACAACTGATGAACCTACATTGACACAACACAACTACCCAAAGTTCATAGTTTACAATTGGGTTCATTCTTGGTGTTGTACCTTCTGTGTGTTTGGACAAATGAATAATGATCTGCACAATCACTGTGATATTACGAAGAGTAGCTTCACTGTCCTAAAAGTCCTCTGTGCTCCACCTATTCATCCCTTTCCACTAAGCCCTGGCAACCACTGATTTTTTTCCTGTCTCCATGGTGTTGCCTTTTCCAGAATGTCATGTAATTGGAATCATACGGTAGGGAGCCTTTTCAGATTGGCGTCTTTCACTTAGTGATATGCATTTAAGGTTCCTCCATATCTTTTCATGGCTTGATGTCTCATTTCTTTTTAGCACTGAAATAATATTGCATTGTCTACTTGTACCACAATTTATTAACCCATTTACCTATTGAAGGACATCTTGGTTGTTTCCAAGTTTTGTCCTGGATCCTTTTGGATAGGGGGTTGGGGAGGGAAGACAGGCCTCCAGCTTAGCCATGGACAGAGCTTGAACAGTCCTCCATGGTCCTCGGGCCCTTTGCGCATAGACTTCTGTGAGGCCTGTTCTACTGTCTCAAATGTACTCAGACACACTCTCATCCCCTGCATGTATTGTCTGAACTTTGACTGAAAGATACTATCTGCCAAGTGTATATTAGGAAATAAGGATGTAGATCCTAGTCTTGAAGAATTGATAGACTAGTGGAAAGGAAAAGATAACTGACTACAACTGACTTGTACAAATGCAATGAGACTTTCAGAAAAGCTACGATTTTAGCATCAGACTAAAGGTGAGTTTCCCATGATGTTATTCAGCGTTTCGTTCTTGCAATTCCATGGTGATAGTTTTGGATACAACAGATAGGCCTATTTGAGCATAAGATTCTTAGTACGTAGACTCATTACTGAGTGTGCATTCCATGAAAAACCTTAAAGATTATAGCTCTTTGTTTTTGAGAGAGAGAAAGGGACACCCCCCACCCCTCCCAATTCCTGATACATACTGAATCTTGACTTTAGGAATCATATTGTCCTGGGTTTAAACCCTAGTTTTGCCACCTATCAGCCAGGTGACTTTGGGAAAATTACCCAACCTCTCTAAGCTTCTGTTTCCTAAGTTGCAAAATTGACATTCTAGTAACTGTAGGATTATTGTAAGTATTAAGTGATATGCATTTAAGGTTCCTCCATGTCATTAGCATGGTGTTTGGTGTGTAGGAAGCATTCCAAAGATGATATCCACTCATTTTATGACTTCTTGCTACGTACTTTTTTAAACAGAGAGGCCAAGATTGTTAGCTTCCTTTGGGGGCACAGTTGGAGAAGTGCATCTTTTTTTTTTTTTTTTTTTTTTTTTTTTTTTTAACTTTTTTGGTTAAAAAAAAGCATGTGGGATCTCAGTTCCCCTACCAGAAATGGAACCCACAGCCCCTGCGGTGGAAGTGCAGAGTGTTAACCACTGGACTGCCAAGGAAGTCCCTGGAGAAGTGTATCTTGAAGGAGGGAGCTGACCATCCTCCAATCAGGGCCTAGACAACAGTGAAAGGAGTTAGGTAAGTCGTAAACATGCAGGATCAGTTATTGTTTTTATATAAAATATTGATATTTTGTTTATTATGGATTGTTTTGCATTGATTCTGATTTTTTTTTATTTTTTAAATTTTTATTTATTTATTTTTTGGCTGTGTGGCATCTTCGTTGCTGTACAGGGGCTTTCTCTAGTTGCGGTGAGCTGGAGCTGCTCTTCGTTGCAGTGTGCGGGCTTCTTATTGCAGTGGCTTCTCTTGCTGCAGAGCACAGGCTCTAGGTGCCTGGGCTTCAGTAGCGGTGGCATGTGGGCTCAGGAGCTGGGGCTCAGGAGTTGGGCTCTAGAGCACAGGCTCAGTAGTTTTGTTGCTCAGCGGCATGTGGCATCTTCCCAGACCAAGGCTCGAACCGTATGCCCTGCACTGGCAGGCTGATTCTTAACCACTGCGCCACCAGGGAAGTCCCTGACTTTTTAAAATATTGCATTAAAATATTATTTATCTTGGGCTTTCCTGGTGGCGCAGTGGTTGAGAGTCCGTCTGCCGATGCAGGGGACACAGGTTCGTGCCCCGGGTCCGGGAAGATCCCACGTGCCGCGGAGCGGCTGGGCCCATGAGCCATGGACGCTGAGCCTGCACGTCCGGAGCCTGTGCTCAGCAACAGGAGAGGCCACAACGGTGCAAAGCACGTGTACCCCCCCCCCAAAAAAAATAATGATGCTCACAAAATCCCACATTACCCGAGAATCAGAACAGAAGCAGTCATTTGAAAGGATCCTGGGTCACACCTACCTCCTGATCTTGGAGAGTCTCCGGGCACCAAACAAGGGAGCGCCCCAACAAAAAAAAAAAAAAAAAAAAAAAAAAATATATATATATATATTTATCTTGATAACCCACTTTTTTGGTACCTCCTTAAATTTCATTCACCTGGCCCTAAAGCACTTAGGTCGTGGTGTGACTGGCACAAAGTCCACAGCTGCCTGTAGGAAAAGACTGAAGATCTTTGGGTGAGTTTGAACTTGTGCTTTGCAAGGCCTAGAACACTTAGCCTCCTGGGATAGGAGCAGAGGGTGTGGACTACAACTCCCAGAAGGCCGCGCGGCATGGCACCCTCACCGATTGGCTGGTGTGGCCCCGCCCCCACCACGCCCCTGCCGGGAGGACCTGGGGCAGCGAGTCCCGGGCTAGCGTGCTCCCGAAGCCGGCTACCCAGTGTAGTCTCGCCTTGCCGGACAGGCTTCATGGCGGCCCAACCAGTGTCCCGGATGCTGCGGCCGGTCCTGAGGTCCAGCGTCCGGAGCTGCAGCTCGGGCGCTCTGGTGACGCAGCCACACCCCGGGGAGCCCTCCCAACCTGCCGTGGAGGTGAGCCTCCCGTATCCACACTTTCTTGGGGAGGGGGTGACCTGGCAGCTGCACCTTATGCCCAGAAGCACCCCGGCCCGTCCGCGGTAGCTGCTTCTGAGAGGGGTGTGCGCCTCTGCGAGGGACTCCTCAGCGCTTATTTAGTGGTGGGGAGAGGAGTGGAATGATGTTTTCTAGATAGACTGCCCAGTCTCACCCGGTATCCCAACGAGGGGTGGCGGGGTGGGGCGCTCCTTGGGGTCTGGCTTAAAAACCTCCCTGTCCACCCATCCGTGCAACCCCCTTCCAGGTCTGAGTGACTCCTAGAGGTGGGGGAGCAGGCGGCAGGACTCTGGGACAAATGAGATATTATTAGTACCCCTTTCAGCCCTGCCTCACACCCAGCCTCTTCTTTAAACATTTTCCTCCCTGCCCCCCAGTGGAGGTTGTGTGTGATCAGGTGTTTTTGTGACACCCCACTTCATAGTGTGGCACTGACTAAAAATGTCACCTTGGTGCTGCCAGTAGTCAGTTGTCACTTTGTAGTCACAGGGTTGTGTGACCCGTCCTTCACTGACTCTTTTTGTTTCATCTTCATTTCCCTTAGGAGGGTTCAGTCTCTTTCTAGAGCAGAATGGAGTCAGGACCTGGGCTCTTGCAGGTTAGGGACTCCGCTATCTCTTTAGGGTTGGGATAGCCCCCCTCAGTCCTTAACAGCATCTCAGAGGGGCTTCCAGCATAAGAAGTTTTAAATTTGTTTTGTCCATGTCGTCAGGGAATCATGTGGGGAGAAGCATCTCTTTTTTGGTGACACCTTTTCTAGGCTGATCTGGTCATTCATTTCCCACCTCCTGGCTCAGGGCTTCAAGTTCTGGGATTCATCAGATCATGCATCTGCTGTTGCTCAATCAAGGGGAGGGCCTGAGCCTGACTTGCTTTCCCCAGATCTGATCCCCGCTTCCCCCCACCCGCGGGATCCTCAGATAAGCAGATCCCATTTCTGGGAGGTGGAGAAGTTTGTCAGTATCCTTGAACTCTGAACTTTGTGGAGGGAAAAATGGGAAAGCAAAGATGAGAGATCTCTAAAGAATTCAGGAAAAGGGAAGTTTCTTCTCCCCCTTGCCCCTAATTTACTTTGTACCTTTCATCCTGTGCTAAGTGGCTTCATTCGTGGTCTCTCTCAGTCCTCACAATAAACCATGTGAAGTGAGTAGAGTTTGTATTTTCAGGTGAGGGTGCTCATGGAAGTTAACTTCCCTGGAGTCCCTGAGCTGTAAAGTAAGGGAACCGGAGCTCAAACTCTAGCACTTGGGCTCCTGCTTCTTTTCTGTGGGGAGAGCAGAAGAGAGGCTGCTCTTACCCTTTCCTTTACACCATGAGGGCAGGTAGAGTTAGCAGGTAAGAAGGTGGACTCAGGATGCCTCGGTTTGAATCCCAGCCCTACCACTTATTAGGTGTGTGAACTTGAGCAAGTCTTCTCAGTGCCTCAGTGTTCTCCTCTGTAAAATGGGAATAACAGCGTCTACTTCATAGGGCTTAAAGGAGTTAACATAATTTATATATATATGTACTTAGAACAAAACCTGGCACATGTACGTGCTGTGCACGTGTATTGCACGTTTGTTGTAATTATGCTTGCCGCCACTGCCACATACTGTGTCCCCTAAGTCCCCTCCCACCTGGACACTCAGGATAGTCATTCTGTCAACTATCTGATCACAGACCTCTCACCCTGGACATTCCCCACCACGGTTATCCTCAGCAGACAGGTTGCTCCTTGGGTGCTGGGTGCTCCCCTGCCTTTCTCAGTACAGTGCTTATCCGGTGCTCTGCAGGCAGTAGAGTTAGCAGGTATTTTTTGGCTGTTTGAAACAGATCTGGTGAGGGTGCACGTGACAGAGCACTGGACAGGGAGCCCCAAGCTTTCATGCTCGCTTTGCCCCCAGTTTGACCTGGCTCCTGGGCCTGTCTCTTCCCCTCTCTTCCTGTCTTTAAAACCAGTGGGATGGACTAGCCCATCTGTACGCAGTGGGGGAGGGCACAGAGTGTCCTTAGGAGAATCTCAGAGGTATGTTCAACCAATCCACCGAGCTTGCCAGTTGGCAGGAGCAGGAGTGGGGGCATCTGGAAGCCCTGTCCTCCCTTCCCTTCCTGTAGGGTGCCTTTCCCCATACCCTACGCGGGGCCCTGAGGTCTGGTTTGAGATGGCAAGTGCTTGGAGAGACGGGGAAAGCCCCTGGGTGTTGTCTGTGTGTCGGGGTGTAGGTGTGGGAGAGATGTGCAGTGAGGGGAGGGAGCTGGCTGTGAGGACAGTGGATGGGGGCATTAGGCTTTGTCCCGGGGCAGATCGAGGAGCTTCTGCAGGTGGAAAGGGCAGGCGGGTAGGGGAGACAGCTCCCTCCGGCCTGGTTGGGGCAGCAAGACAGAGGGCTTCCCCCAGTTGCAAGCACTACGCCCTTCTTTCTCCCTCTCAGGCTCCGTGCAGGCTTTGTTGGCATGACAAGGGGCTGGCCTCAGGTCCTGGTCCTGCTTCCTTGGGGCAGGGGCAGGGGAAAGGATGACTCTGTGCCAGGCAAAGGCACCCAGCTGTTCAGGGGGCTGGAGAGAACACAACATGGGAGAGGGCTGTGCAGGAAGGGACTGGTACATGAGGAGGGCCGGGGCAGGGCAGTCACACGTGGAAGGAAAGGAGACCTTTCAGGGGGCTGCCTGGACTTCCAACCTGCCCAGCTCCTCAACAGCTTTGTTTCAGTGAAGTGTGACTTATCCTTGCCGGGAGCCACAGGTGTGAAGACCTCACACTTAGGGTGGGGCTGGAGGGGGAACGGAGGTCAAAGCCTGGGGCTGGGCACTTTGCCAGGTCCCCTTATTTAATAGAGATTAATTTTGAGCCACCCTCTGGGTATACATCCTCCCAAAGAGCAGGTAAATCAGGGCCACTGATATTTGGGTTTGGCCTGGGCTCTTCTCCTGCTCTTCTAGTGTGTACACTCCAGAGCTGTTTGGGGGTTGGCCTTTATCACTCAGATCAAAGGCCCAAGGTTAGTGAATATTAGAGAAGGCACTTTGAGGGCAGGGTCCCTCCCTTAACTAACTCCTTCCTACCCCTCTTCCCCACCACTTCATCCCAGTCTGCACTGGGTTGGTAGACAAGATATAACCAGTAGCATGTGGTAGGCTGCCTAGTTCCTGGTTGGGGCACTAGTATCTGTGGTTCTCGGGAAGCTCAGACCCCACGTGTCCTGCTTTGAGTGGTGTGACAGCAGGTCCGAAACCCCAGCCTTGGGCCCTCTGCCATTAAGTAGGGCTTTGCAAGACGAGGGAAGCTGACAAGAGTGGGAAAACTAGTCACAGCACACACACACACAGTGCCCCTCCATGGATACATGATGAATGGATATTTGTAAGTAGGAGTTAGATTGAGAGAATGGGAGCAGTCACTTCCTGAACACCTACTGTGTGACAGGAACTCCTCCCGCTGAGATAGGTAGGATCATTTTCCACACTTTATGGACGAGGAAGCTAAGGCTTAGAGAATGGTAAGCAACTAGCTTTACAGCTAGTTGGTAACAGAGCCAGGCTTCTAATTCAAGTTTACCTGCTCCCAAAGCCTATGCTCAGAACCGCAATCACCCCGGATTAAAATGGCACTGGGTCCTGGTGTGGCAGGGCCAGTGGTTCTCAGCCTGGGCTACAGATAAACCACTAGGGCCCCATCCCAGAGAGCAGCTGAGTCCGAATCTTTGGGCTGGGGCTCTGGCATCAGCACGTCTTAGAAGGTCTTCAGGTGATTTTAATGTGTAACAAAAGCTGAGAACCACTGTACGAGGCTAAACCATTTTGACAGTAGAGACCAGCCTAGAAATGAATGGCAACCCCAGTGTAACTGGGTTTTCGACGCACCACCTTTCCCTCTGGATTAGGGACCTGCCTGTCTGTTCACTGACACAGCGGTTCGACACCTGCTATGACACTGGGAAACAGAGTCAGGCAGGAAGGCTTCCCACCCAGGGGAAACAGCCTGGTCCAGGCCGGGGCCGGAGAATATGAGCACCTAAGGATGTTCTACTTCTGACATGTCCTAGCCCCGCCTGGGCGAGAGACACTGCCGTCTCATCTGCCCAGTAATTCTCCCAGGATTCTGGACTCCTTTGACTGGTGCTGATATTTTTTCCTCCAGGGAGTTTAAAGGGAAGAAAAAAAATGGAAGAAGGAAAGTAGGGCATATGCAGTGCTGGAGGAGGAGGCAGGGATGAGGTGTGTTAATACCCAGCTGAGGAGTTTGCAAGAGAGAGGGCGAGAGGGCGAGGGCGAGGGCGAGGGCGAGGGAGTGTTTAGGAGGCTGCGTCAGGTGTGTGTGTGTGTGTTTAGGTGGCTGCGTCAGCTACTGGCTATACAGAGTCTGAACGAATCTAGATAAGGTCACTCCAGGTCTCAAAAGTGAAATCTGGCCTCCCCTCCCGTGGGGGCCTAATTCCATTCTGGGTTGCCCCATTCCTCGGCTCCCTCTCCGCTTTCTGCTGAGTCATGCTCCTGAGTCCTCTCACTTGCTCCCTATTCCCGGCTTTATTTTCGCTCCTCCCTCACCCAGCCACCTCTCCCAGGATGTGAAGATTAGGGTGAGGAGGGCATCTTGGCAAGTGAAGAGGTGAGGTCTGGGGGGACTAACAAGTCACTGAATTGTGAATAGCTGCTGATTCCCACGTGTCAGAGCTCCTGGACTGTGGTGGCCAATGGGGATGGGACTCTTTTTTTTTTTTTTTGCGGTACGCGGGCCTCTCCCGTTGCGGAGCACACGCGCAGGCTCAGCGGCCATGGCTCACGGGTCCAGCCACTCTGCGGCATGTGGGATCTTCCCGGACCCCGCGGGGCACGAACCCGTGTCCCCTGCATCGGCAGGCAGACTCTCAACCACTGTGCCACCAGGGAAGCCCTCTTTTTTTTTTTTTAAATAAATTTATTTTATTTATTTTTTTGGCTGCGTTGGGTCTTTGTTGCTGTGCGTGGGCTTTCTCTAGTTGCGGCGAGCTGGGGCTACTCTTCGTTGCAGTGCATGGGCTTCTCATTGCCGTGGCTTCTCTTGTTGCAGAGCACGGGCTCTAGGCGCATGGGCTTCAGTAGTTGTGGCGTGTGGGCTCAGTTTTGGCTTGCGGGCTCTAGACCGCAGGCTCAGTAGTTGTGGCACACGGGCTTAGTTGCTCCGCGGCATGTGGGATCTTCCCGGACCAGGGCTCGAACCCGTGACCCCTGCATTGGCAGGCGATTCTTAACCACTGCGCCACCAGGGAAGTCCCGGGATGGGACACGTGATTCTGAAGTGTCCCTGACCCATCCCCAAAGGTACTGGTGGAAAGGCAGTGGGGTGAGTAGGGAAGGAGGAACACTGTTGTTATTATTTCAGACTGCAGTTCAGAGAAATGACGGCTACTTTCTCGTCACGGGACTGTGAGCAGGGTTTCTTAGAGGATGTGGGAAACTGCTCTTGGGGCGGGCAGAGCAAGGTCAGTTTTATGGACCCAGGAAAATCATGAAGCACCCCCTGCTCTCCTATCCCTTCTACCTCCTGAGTCAGTCAGTGGCCCTTGACTATACATTAGAATCACCTGGAGAGGTGAAGCACACAGCATCTGGAGATCTGAATTCAGCTGGTCTCCAGTAGAATTTTTTTCTTCAACTCCCCAGATGGTTCTAACATGTAGCCAGGGCTGAGGAGGTCTCTGAAGTAAATGTTTCTTCTTCTTGGACCTCAGGAGGGCTGGAGGCCTGCTTTCTTTAGGTTACAAGATCATGAGAATCCTGGGGGTTTCCCTACCAGTGTCCTGACTAGCCCCCTCCTTCACAGCAAGACAACCTTAGCCCACAACTGTGTACTTATTTAACGGCTGGGAGAGCAGGCCTGGAGGAATTAGAGAACTTTCCCAGTGTGTCCCCAGTCCAGAGCCTTATCCATAGACCTCACGGATGACCACCACAGTCATGATTTCTCTGTTTTAAAGATTCTAGAGAAATGATTTCTCCCCGCCCTATGTACCATCCCGTGTACCTTCTTGGACACACCCTATGCAACTAGGGGAAGGAATTTAGAACTTGGAATCAGAAGACCTGGATTTGCATCCTGGTTCTGCCAGGGGTGTTCTTGGACCCCATTCAAGAGTTGGTTATAATAATCCCTTTAGGTGTGGGGATGGAACAGAGAACATTCTTTGGAAACCTTAAGATGCCTTGCAAACTCTTAACCTCTGTGGAGCAGTTATCTCATCAGCATGTCATGACGCAGGGCTGTGTTCTAAATGGGGGGATGGGGGAGGGGAGAGAGCACAGACTAGTTCAGATTCAGGAAAGGGTGAGGTTGGCTGCCTCCTTTCTCTCCCCAGGATGAGTTTGGGCCTTGCCGGGAGCCTCAGGCCATCTCCTCCCCTTATACCCCAAACAGTGGGTCCTTAGTCCTTTCTTCTGGCCACGGGTGGGTGAAGGATAAGGACTAAAGCAATCTGGGCACGGGGTTAGTGTGGTGGCCATCCTGGCACCTGCATTCTCCCTTCCTGGAACCGCCTCATTCCCTCTGTGGGTCCCCCTAGTGTGCTGTCTTACCCCCAAGGTCTTCTGTGGGAGGGGAGCCTTCCCCATGGGTTTACCCTCCCCAGCTGGGCGTGGCCCCCGGCTGCTCCTGGGGGTGTGGCCTGTTGGGTCCTCCTGGGTGTTGAGGAGGCCCCAGAGAGCCCCCCATCCGCAAGGGGGCGGGAGCTTGTGTGACACCCCCTCCCTCACAGTGAGTGACTTTGTTTCGAGCTCAAGGTAAGGAGTGGGAGGGCTGGGTTGGACAAGTGGCTTCCGTGTCCCAGGCCACCTTCCCTCTCAGCTACCTGCTGTCTCCCTCCTCCTTTCTGGACATGCTTGTCTGGTGGCATGGTTGCCAGGTGCCAAATGGCACCTGCCCTCCCAGTGACCCATCCAAGAGGTGCTAGAGATGGCTGTTCCCGGATAGGCTTCCTTTGAGGGAGGGGTAGCAGGGAGAAGGTGGGGCCCAGCTGGGGCTTAGTGCTCTTCCCTGTGCCTTGCTGCCCAGCTGATAGGCAGATGCACCCCTGCAGGGGTCCTCCACCCTGGGGCCGAGTGTGGGACCTTGGAGGGGCAGGTCCTTCCCTCCAGGCCTGTTTCCCAACCTGTGAATAACAGGAGAATACCAGACCCCCAGGACTGCGGAGCCCATGTGGATGGAAAGGCTAGCAGTGTGTGCGGGTGTCAGAGAGGAGGGAGGGGATGGTCGAGGGGAGAGGGCTTGCTGTCCCCAGGTGGGCTCTCCTTGCACCTCTGCCCCAGCCCCTGTTGTCGTAGGTGCCGTCCGGACGGAGGCGGTTCCTGAGGGAGCACGCAGCCCCCTTCTCTGTCTTCCTCACGGACAGCTTCGGCCGGCGCCACAGCTACCTGCGGATCTCCCTCACTGAGAAGTGCAACCTCAGATGTGAGTCGCCCTCCTGAGCTCCTGTCCCTCTACTGTAGTGGCTCCTGTCCCTCTACTGTAGTAGCCCCTAAATCACCCCCTGTCTAGGAATCCTTCTCAATCCTCCCCATTCCTCTTTCTAGAAAACTCCAGCCGCCCTTCTTCCTTGCTTGCCAGGTGGGGTTCAGGGGCAAGGTAGGGGTCAAGGGTGAGTTTTATGATCCTGGAAGCTGGGTTCTACTTGGGATTAGGTTGGAGAACAGAATTGCTGTTGGGTTTAGGATTGAGGTGGGCCTGGGATC